ATTTACTGAAGGACATCTGTGCTACGCCAGTGCCTCAGCGTTAAAGATAGTTACAGCGCTCGGTGGGACCGAAAGAGCTTGGCTCTCCGTTGCCGCATTCCCTGCACAAGATATGGAAGAAAATCTCTGCATCTGATCGAGATAAATCCCCGTGTAGGGAACACGCTGCTTTACCAAACTCCCTGCCAACCTGACAGCCTCAGCCGTGCAGAAGTGGTGGGGCATTCATGCCCAACGACGTGCTCGTCTCCCTGGCAAGAAGTAACGGCGTGACCGTCTCAAAGGTACTGCTCGTCTCCACGCCTGGACTCGGAGTGAGATGAGCCAACAGCTCGGCGTGACAGGTAGTGACATCCCCCCATGGCAAAGGCCCACAGACAAAGCACGGGAGAAGCAGCCAGAGCTTTTGCTGCCAGTGAAAGGGCAGAAAGCCACGGGGACAGGGATGCTGCTCAGAAAAGGAAAAAAGGATGAAACATCAGGTGTTGGTGGAGCTGGGGGTGTTCAGCCTGGAGAAAAGGAGGCTGAGGGGAGACTTTCTGGCTCTCTCCAACTCCCTGAAAGGAGGGTGTAGCCAGGGGGGGTCGGTCTCTTCTCCCAAGTCACAGGCCATGGGACAAGAGGAAATGGCCTCAAGTTGCACCAGGGGAGGTTCAGGTTGGAGATTTGGAAAAATTTTTACACTGAGAGGGTTATTAAGCCTTGGAATGCGCTACCCAGGGAAGGGGTTGAGGCACCATCCCTGGAGGTTTTTAAAAGATGGGTTGACAGAGTGATTAGAGACATGGTTTAGTGATGTCATTGTTTTTTTTTAATCAGAGTTAGGTTGATGGTTGGACTAGATGATCTTAAAGGCCCCTTTCAACCTAGACAGTTCTATGATTTTATGGTGCAACAAGGCTTTGCCCAGCCACCAGCAGCAGCAAGCTGCAGGGATGAAGTAGGAGGGATCAGGAACAACTCCGTTTGCCTCAGGCAGAGTGCTGTGTTTCCTTCTGCTTTGGAGGCCCCGCATGCCTCATGGTGACCCTGACTTCAGGCATAGCCTGCATCCTCAAGAGACCTCCACATGTCATGGTTCTCAGAGATGTGAAGAGGAAGGAGGGGCCTAGAAAATCTGGCAACCCCAGGCTTTATTTTTTTTTAGCTTTAGACAAGGACAGATGTTTATGGTGAGCTCAGGGCAGGAGGCAGCCCTGCAGTAGGATCAAGAGCCTCTTGATCAAGGATCAAGACCCTCTCCAATTCCCTGAGAGGAGGGTGTAGAGAGGTGGGGGTTGGCCTCTTCTCCCAAGGGAATCATGCCAGGAGCAGAGGAAATGGTCTGAAGTTGGGGCAGGGGAGGGTTAGATGAGATGTGAGGAAGAATGACTTTGCTGAGAAGGTGGTCAGGCCCTGGAAGGGCCTGTCCAGGGAGGTGGTGGAGTCCCCATCCCTGGAGGGATTGAAGAACCGTGTAGAGGTGGCACTTCAGGGCATGCTCTAGTGCCTGAGATCATTGGGTTGGGTTTTTGCTGTGTGTTTTTGTGTGGATGTTCGTAGTGTTACGATCCAGGCAAGGGACTCCCCTGGCCATGGAGCAGTATTTCACAGAATCACAGAATCTTCGTGGTTGGAAGGGACCTTTGACATCATCGAGTCCAACCACAAAGAAAACCCCAAAAACAACAACCCCACCAAACCAAAAAAACCCCCACAAACAGACACAACCCCACAATCTCGAGCACTAGAGCATGCCCTGAAGTGCCACCTCTACATGGGTTCTTCAATCCCTCCAGGGATGGTGACTCCACCACCTCCCTGGGCAGGCCCTTCCAGGGCCTGACCACCCTCTCAGCAAAGTCATTCTTCCTCACATCTCATCTAAACCTCCCCTGCCCCAACTTCAGACCATTTCCTCTGCTCCTGGCATCATTCCCTTGGGAGAAGAGGCCAACCCCCACCTCTCTACACCCTCCTCTCAGGTAGTTGTAGAGGGCAAGGAGGTCTCCCCTCAGCCTCCTCTTCTCCAAACTCAACATGCCCAGTTCCCTCAGCCTCTCCTTGTGTGACTTGTTCTCCAGTCCCCTCCCCAGCTTGGTGGCTCTCCTCTGGCCACGCTCCAGCACTTCAGATTTCCCTGGCACCAGCCTGAATCTCAGCCTGGCATTTACTGAAGGACATCTGTGCTACGCCAGTGCCTCAGCGTTAAAGATAGTTACAGCGCTCGGTGGGACCGAAAGAGCTTGGCTCTCCGTTGCCGCATTCCCTGCACAAGATATGGAAGAAAATCTCTGCATCTGATCGAGATAAATCCCCGTGTAGGGAACACGCTGCTTTACCAAACTCCCTGCCAACCTGACAGCCTCAGCCGTGCAGAAGTGGTGGGGCATTCATGCCCAACGACGTGCTCGTCTCCCTGGCAAGAAGTAACGGCGTGACCGTCTCAAAGGTACTGCTCGTCTCCACGCCTGGACTCGGAGTGAGATGAGCCAACAGCTCGGCGTGACAGGTAGTGACATCCCCCCATGGCAAAGGCCCACAGACAAAGCACGGGAGAAGCAGCCAGAGCTTTTGCTGCCAGTGAAAGGGCAGAAAGCCACGGGGACAGGGATGCTGCTCAGAAAAGGAAAAAAGGATGAAACATCAGGTGTTGGTGGAGCTGGGGGTGTTCAGCCTGGAGAAAAGGAGGCTGAGGGGAGACTTTCTGGCTCTCTCCAACTCCCTGAAAGGAGGGTGTAGCCAGGGGGGGTCGGTCTCTTCTCCCAAGTCACAGGCCATGGGACAAGAGGAAATGGCCTCAAGTTGCACCAGGGGAGGTTCAGGTTGGAGATTTGGAAAAATTTTTACACTGAGAGGGTTATTAAGCCTTGGAATGGGCTGCCCAGGGAAGGGGTTGAGGCACCATCCCTGGAGGTTTTTAAAAGATGGGTTGACAGAGTGATTAGAGACATGGTTTAGTGATGTCATTTTTTTTTTTTAATCAGAGTTAGGTTGATGGTTGGACTAGATGATCTTAAAGGCCCCTTTCAACCTAGACAGTTCTATGATTTTATGGTGCAACAAGGCTTTGCCCAGCCACCAGCAGCAGCAAGCTGCAGGGATGAAGTAGGAGGGATCAGGAACAACTCCGTTTGCCTCAGGCAGAGTGCTGTGTTTCCTTCTGCTTTGGAGGCCCCGCATGCCTCATGGTGACCCTGACTTCAGGCATAGCCTGCATCCTCAAGAGACCTCCACATGTCATGGTTCTCAGAGATGTGAAGAGGAAGGAGGGGCCTAGAAAATCTGGCAACCCCAGGCTTTATTTTTTTTTAGCTTTAGACAAGGACAGATGTTTATGGTGAGCTCAGGGCAGGAGGCAGCCCTGCAGTAGGATCAAGAGCCTCTTGATCAAGGATCAAGACCCTCTCCAATTCCCTGAGAGGAGGGTGTAGAGAGGTGGGGGTTGGCCTCTTCTCCCAAGGGAATCATGCCAGGAGCAGAGGAAATGGTCTGAAGTTGGGGCAGGGGAGGGTTAGATGAGATGTGAGGAAGAATGACTTTGCTGAGAAGGTGGTCAGGCCCTGGAAGGGCCTGTCCAGGGAGGTGGTGGAGTCCCCATCCCTGGAGGGATTGAAGAACCGTGTAGAGGTGGCACTTCAGGGCATGCTCTAGTGCCTGAGATCATTGGGTTGGGTTTTTGCTGTGTGTTTTTCTGTATGGTTGGACTCAATGATCTCAAAGGTCACTTCCAACATGAAGATTCTGTGATTCTGTGAAGAGCTCCTTGCACAGGCTGGGATCAGAGCTGCAGTCAGGAAGGGCACAGTGTCCCCAGGCATCTCCCTCGGGATGCTTCAGAGGCTGGCCTTGAGGTCAGAGACTCAAGGGGGCACTGGGGTCCAGCAGCAAGGGGACACCACTTGAAAGGTTGCTGTACAAATGAACTTGCACTAGTTAGTGCTAATTGCATTAGTCTGTGCTTGCATTAGTCTGTGCTAATGCAAAAAAGCTTGCATTAGCACAGACTTAGAAGCTGTTCCCAACAGGAGGGACACTATGCTCTTGGAGATCAGCAACGCAAGGGGCAACCAAGATGAAGCTCTCTGAACTGCTGTCACTGGGTCAAATCCCCCAGCTTTTGTGCAGGGAAACAAAGCCCTTACCCTGACTCTCCTGAGTTTCTGCTCTAGGGAGCAGCAGGGGTTTGACCAGGCAATTGAAACGCTGCCCAGTTATCAGCCTCCATCCCCTGGCAGACCTTTGTCATTAAGCAGAGGAGGGACGGGCTCCAGCTCTAACAGCATTAACGAAGCTCCAGCGGTCTGCTGGTGGGGGGAAGCAGGCTTTGCCTCCGTGCAGACTGCACAGCACAGCCTCTTCTGGGCTGCTGCTGCAAAATTACAAACAAAAAAAAGAGCATCAAACGAGAGATTCGTTTTTGTCTGGCACTTTTCCAGCGGCTCTCCTCCTCTTGTCTCCATCCTGCCCCTCAGATTGCAAAATGGACGCCGAGCCCCCCCCCAAAGTCCCATCACGTGGAGGCTCCCACCCGTGCCCTGCTTACATCTTGGTTTGTCATCTCCCAGTAGGGCCTCTCAGCCGTGCAGAAGTGGTGGGGCATTCATGCCCAACGACGTGCTCGTCTCCCTGGCAAGAAGTAACGGCGTGACCGCAGGGGTTTGACCAGGCAATTGAAACGCTGCCCAGTTATCAGCCTCCATCCCCTGGCAGACCTTTGTCATTAAGCAGAGGAGGGACGGGCTCCAGCTCTAACAGCATTAACGAAGCTCCAGCGGTCTGCTGGTGGGGGGAAGCAGGCTTTGCCTCCGTGCAGACTGCACAGCACAGCCTCTTCTGGGCTGCTGCTGCAAAATTACAAACAAAAAAAAGAGCATCAAACGAGAGATTCGTTTTTGTCTGGCACTTTTCCAGCCGCTCTCCTCCTCTTGTCTCCATCCTGCCCCTCCGATTGCAAAATGGACGCCGAGCCCCCCCCCAAAGTCCCATCACGTGGAGGCTCCCACCCGTGCCCTGCTTACATCTTGGTTTGTCATCTCCCAGTAGGGCCTCTCGCCGTAGGACATCACCTCCCACATGACGATGCCGTAGCTCCAGACGTCGCTGGCCGAGGTGAACTTGCGGAAGGCAATGGCTTCGGGTGCCGTCCATCGGATGGGGATCTTCCCTCCCTAGAAGGAAAAGGGGAATAAAAAAAAACCCAAACAAACAAACAAAAAAAAACCAACCCACCCAAAGCAGATTGCAGAGGAGGGCAGAGAACATGCAAAAGAGGACAAAACAGCACTTCTTAGAGCACTGAGGGATGTTATTTTCTCTCTGGAAAGAGACATCGAATTTTAAAGTAAATCTGTTTGACAGCATGGGGCCTCTTTCCACATTATCTCAGCCCATAAGCATTTGTAGGCTGCCTACTAATTGGCTGTCCTGAAGGTTTGTTGTTTGAATGCTGTTTGAATGCTGGGACATGTATAGGATCAACATCTCAATTATGTTGCCCGGGTTGGTAGGGGAATACAGTTCCTCCGTTTCTGAGAGCGAGCGGGGGAGGAACAGACAGCTCTGAAGCCCAGGAAGACTTTGATCTAACGAGGGTTTCATGCAAATTGCTGTGGAAGTAATGCCCTTTTTTTTTTTTCCTTTCTTTTTTTTTTTAAATGCAGTCCTGATCCTGCAGAGGGATCTGTGTGTGTGAAGACCAGCCTGCTTGGCCTCTGCTGTGGGACTGAAAATGATGTTCCAGCTGTCAAACGGGCTTTGCTGTCCCCCTTTCTCCCTTTCCACCGTTTTAGAAATCAAACTTTAGCCCGGCTCTGAGAAGGAAGAGGGGAGGGAAAGGAGAGTTTGGATTAAGGAATACTTTTCTCATTGGGTTTAAAGAGTTGCCTCCCCTGATTTATTATCAAAACACATCTCACTGTGAAGTCCCTTCCTCTCAGTGTTGAGCTAAATATTGGAAGTTCTCCCCAAATGCCCCCTAACGGTGTTTGCTGTTGGAAAAAGGTAGAATTTGGAACGCGTTTTCAAAGCAAATTTTAAAAATGCCCCTTCTCCCCATGATTATTTATGCACAGGCTTATCAAGCGCATGCCTGAAGTGAGGAGCCAGGTTCTCAGCGGTGCCAATTAGCACATGGCAGCAGGGCTGGCCGAGAGCCCTCCAAGCCTGCAGGGAAGCTCTGGTCCAGCCCTGCACTGAGTCCCACCACAGGACCATGACTGCCAAGAGCTGAAAAGCCTTCCCCAGATCTCCCCTGGGAATTGGGAACGTGACCTGGAGAGCTCCCACCACCCATAAAAGAATCCCCTTGGAAAACCATGCTACCAGGACGCATCCAGGGTCTCTCCAAGTCTGTGCTGTGGAAGGATGGATCAAGGATAGAAAAGGGCAGAGCTGGAGCAGCTCTTTTCTCTGGCTGGGGGGAAATGACTCTCAACAGGGCAAAGTTGAGGGCAACGTGTATCATCTGCAACAGGCGGTCTGCGCTTACCCACGGGTCAAATTGTCCAGAAGATCACCGCTGACATCTCTGCATGGGTGCCTAAGCAAAGCACTTGCTCCTGCTCTCTCCTCCCTTTGATATCCACCAAAGAATCATAGAATCATCTAGGCTGGAAGAGACCCTCGGGATCATCGAGTCCAACCATCTACCCTACTCTACAAAGTTCTCCCCTACACCATATCCCCCAACACCACATCTAAACGGTTCTTAAACACAGCCAGGGATGGTGACTCCACCACCTCCCTGGGCAGCTTATTCCAATGCCCGACCACTCTTTCTGTGAAGAATTGTTTCCTAATGTCCAGTCTAAACCTACCCTGGCGCAACTTGAAGCCATTACCCCTTGTCCTATCATCTGTAACTTGGGAGAAGAGACCAACCTCCCCTGGCTACACCCTCCTTTCAGGGAGTTGGAGGGAGCAAGGAGGTCTCCCCTCAGTCTCCTCTTCCCCAGACTGAACACCCCCAGCTCCCTCAGCCTCTCCTCACAAGACTTGTGCTCCAGACCCCTCACCAGCTCCGTTGCCCTTCTCTGGACCTGCTCCAGCCCCTCAATGTCTTTCTTGTGGTGAGGGGCCCAAAACTGGACACAGCCCTCGAGGTGGGAATAGAGCTGGGAGCACAGCACCTTTGCCAAGCTCGCTGTTTGCCTCAGGTGCCCAACATGAACGTGGAAGTTATTAGTTAAGTTCTGCCTTATTTGGCCATTCCCACTACAAAGTTGCAGGCATTTACAAAATTAAACTGATAGTCTTTAACTGGGAACAGCTGGTCAACCCTTGGTGTAGAGTTTAGAGAATCTGGATTTGTAGAAACCTCTTTGCTAGAGCCGGAACACCAAAATGGGGCAGGAAATACTACATTTTTTTTGGAGCTCAAGCAGCTCAATCGTAACTCACCCTGGTTGTGTACGCTGCTTCGGGGTCGTCTTCTAGGACTCTAGAGAGGCCGAAGTCTGACACCTTGCAGACCAAGTTGCTGTTGATGAGGATATTCCTGGCAGCCAGATCTCTGTGCACGTACCCCATGTCAGAGAGGTACTTCATTCCCGACGCGATACCTCGCAGCATCCCGACCAGCTGGATGACCGTGAACTGCCCATCATTCTTCTGCAAAAGGAAGGAGACACTGGATCTGCTGAGAGCCTCTGCACCCTCAGCATTGCCTGGGCATGAATAAAAATGCAAAGGCGAGTCTCCAGGGAGGGGGGAAAACCAGGGAAATTAATAATTCATTACTCTCGTGCTCTGACCACAAAGCTTTTCAAAGTTTCACTGTTTGGATTAGGATCTCTAGAGACAAGGCTAAGGAAATGTAGTTCTTTTAACTGGAGATCAAGGAGCAAGCTGTTTCCACTGGTGAGTGATAAGGAGACTGTGACTGGGAGTGAACACACGTAGTTATGTGTATGAAGGCACCGGCGTGGGCTGTCTCCCAGTTGGCCAACTGAATTGCACCAAGTCAACGTTGAAATCCTACCTGCAGGGGTCCACGTGTGAATATTTGGGGTTAGGAGCTCTCCCCACCATGTTGCCACCCTGCACTTCTAACCATTCTCCCTACCCTCCCTTCTCTAGCTTTCATATCTCATGGAAAAAGCTCTGACAAGGCTGAGGGTTGCCATGATGCAGTGCGGACGTGCTCTGGAAACCCATCAAATTTTGCAGGATAAGTTTCTCGTTTCCACACAGCAGGCTACCTTCTAAAATAAACATAATATCCTCCAATTCATTCTTATCTGTTTGTATCAATGCACGAACCAGGCCCTTCATGACGCTGTATAAATATAGATCAAACAGAGCTACTCCTGCCTCCAGAAGCATCAGCAGCTGGACCAGCACCCAGCAAACATTTTCACTGATATTAGCCATCTGCAAAGATCCCAAACTTCAACCAAAGCCCCCCTGGAAAAAAAGGATCTAAGTATTACCTTTAAAAATGTATCCAGAGAACCATTTTCCATGTATTCAGTCACTATCATTACTGGTTTGCCTGGGGAAAAAAAAACAAAAAACAGTACATGAGTTTGTTAGCAATTTATTTTAAAACCATGCATAATAATGAAGTCTTTTCATAACGTGTCTGATTGTGAACGTACAGCCCTCCAACAGTAAACCTATAACGTGTCTGATTGTGAACGTACAGCCCTACAACAGTAAACCTACACCGAGACACTGCTGTCCCAGCAGGATGACAACAGTTTTTGCCAGAATATATGTAGAAATAGGGGAATCGAGGAGGGGGAGATGAAAAAGTAATCCCGTATTTTGGGTGGGATACCAAGCCCTAGAGAGTTTAGATGTTTGAAGAAGAGGTTACAAGCTGAATCCAGGCAAGCTATGCACAACCTTCTCCTCATCTCCATGAAGAAGCTGGAAGCTTGCAGAGGCCAAATTGTGTACAGTGACCTCTTTGGACTCTTCCTCATAGCTTCAGCACCCTTCAGTAACAACAGGAGCCCAAGAGGAGCAACCAGGATGATCTGGAGTATCTCTCTGAGCTTGGTAGCCACCAACATCAAGATGGGAAAGGATGGGATTACATCCCATGCAGTTCAAGTGGTCCCACGTGACTACCCTTGTAAACACATCTGGAAGTAAGAAAAGGAATATTTATGCTGCAGAACAAAAGCGAGTTAAGCATGGAGTGAGTGCCAGTGGAAATCAAAATAAAAGTTCTTAACAAAAGACCTGGTCTCCTATTGTTGACAGGAATAATAATGTTTTCCCAAATCCATTTGATTAACTTTCATGCCCGAGTCATTTTAATGGTAATTATACATAGGTTTTGCTCAGTTTTTATATCTAATTTCTCGCTAGCTTGCCACAATGACATAGCAATAATTAATGTGGTGTGCTCCAGCCCTTGTAAATTCAATGAAATCTTATAAGAACATGTAAATTATTTTTTATTTAAATCAATTTCCATTAGCTAGCATGAAGCACAGACAAAAGAGGAGCCGTCAATTATTTGTGAAGTGCATTATAAATGTCTTTCATAGAAATGATCAACGAGCGCTGCCGCGTGTCATAACATACGCGTGGAGGTAACCGCTCCCAAAAATGGGCACACTTTCTACCATTTAGATTGGTCTTAATCTTCCCACTTTCCCATTACCTTAACTATTTGCCTAATTTAGTGCTTAATTACCTACGTAATAAAACTAATTGTGAACCTGTCAATCAAAACACTCGTCGTTGTGCAGATACCTTTGCAGCGTGAGGGACCGGCGCTTGCTCTGGTTCTGTTAAGTTAATGTGCCTGAGCTTGAAGATTGCCAAAAAGTGTTAGTTTTGATATGAGAAATGCACCTCGAGGCCATGAAAAATATCATTGAGTCCCCCCCCAAAAATAAGGGGCCTCATCTTCAAGGATGACAGTTGTATGTCTACACACAACACGGGCTGCGGGCAGGAGGCAGGAGAGACCTCAGTTTACATTGCTATAGGTTGGCAAACACGTAGGGAAGGAAAATCCAGGGTATAACTACATTTAAAAAAAAAATCTTTTGTTTTTAAGTGCTAAACTCCTGACTGTAGCATGGGGTCTCTTATCTCTGACACTTCAAGCAAGCGTGGCGGCGAGACTGGCATCTCGTTATGCCACCACCCTGGGGGACCTCCTTCAGCCTCCCGCCTTTGGTTGCCATCAGAGACAAGAAAGTAAGATTTCTGGCACTTATGTTTCATTATCTGACTGCTGCAGGTTGACAGCGATCGTGGAATAAATTAGACCCACATCCAAGAGCATGGAAAGAAAGAGGCAAATAAGAGTAACTTCCAACAAAGTCCATTAAAAGTAGACGTGGAGCCTTCTAAAGCACTGGGCTGGCTCTCCATGTCAGCAGGGCTCCCTCCTGCTGGTGTCACGGTGCCAGAAAATGTATGTAAATGTCATTCATGCCCCTCTACTAACGTGAGGTGCAAGCTGCCAGCACAACTGGACAGGGCAGGAATGAAAACAGGACCATCGTTAACCTTCGTCAAGCAGAAACAGCTAAGGGCTTTGTGTGCACGGGGACAATAAAGACCATTAATCCAAATTAACTAAGGTGTGCATCTGAACTAGATTAGCTAAATGATATTCGGCCCCTGCGCGGACGTTCTCGTTCAGAATTAAAAATGGCCTAATTCAATTTAACTTCATTTCCTTCCAAAGTAAATCGTGAGGCAGCAAAGACGTTTTTTACCCTCAAGATCTGAGTCTACGACGGGCCAACGACTAAAACACAGATGGAAAAAATGAAGTTTAAGCAACACTTTGAGACAGCAGCATAGTTTGGGATTCGCAAAGGTTGTTTTCAGTCCACTTAAAAGAAAAGGAAAAAAGCTTGGAAGATGCTCTGGATGCCTGATGGAAAAAAATTTTGAGTGTGTGGTAAACAAGCATTTACTGAGCTAATGAGGAGCTCAGGGCGCACGCACGCCGCTGCATCCCAAATCCAGTTGCTCCACATCCAATTTAGAAGCAAAGCTCCCCTGCATATCCACGGCCTCTGGAGCAGAGAGCCACTTTATATAAAAGGCAGCTCGCTAGGGAGGCACATCCTCTCCAAAAGTGGGATTCCTACCCCATCCCCTGTGGCCACAGCAGCCAGAAAGGCTTAAGCCCACGTCAGCAGCAGCTTTTCTGGATGTGTAATTATTGTTGCTCGCTTCCTGCCCAATATCCCACAGCCCTGCAGGGCTAGGAATGGGAGCTTTTATCTATTAAGGGCTTCACTAGGTGACCTTGAGAGATTTTTATATTTATTCGATTTGGGGGGAGAAACCTACCTTGGTTTTTTTATGACTGAAAAGTTTTAGGAAATGTAATTTCAAGGAAAAATGCAAGAAAAGGCTGTTGATTGCAAAATAGAGGGTTGTAAGGATAGAAAGAGGATGAACAGCTAGCACCTCTGTACTTTTTCTATTCCACCTCTGAAAAAGAACTGATTTTAGAGATGCTGCCTCTGACAAATGACAAATGGTACTAACAGCAGCCACACGGCCCCAGATGCCAGCAGCTCTTGACATCACCAGTCCTAAAGACACGAGGGGAGACAGCCATTCACACCAGTGAGGCTGGTGCTTCTTCAGCTAGCAAAAACGTCCTGGAACGCTTAAAACACATCTTAAAAATAAAGGAGTAGTTGTTTTCCACAAAAAAAAAAGAAAATCATCCTTGATAGAAATACTGTAGATCCTTCAAGGCTTTAAAATGGAAGAGTAAAAACACTTCTGCACCTTTCCTCCAGCCCCAGCAGAGCATCAACAGCTGGAGAGGGTTGGGTTGGGTTGGTTTGGGTTGGACACAAGCATCAACAGCTGGAGAGGGTTGGGTTGGGCACGTTTGTTCCCTATCTCTGCCCTCATCTTTAGTGCATACAGTGATTTGGAGAAGAACTGGGCTGGGAAAGTTATGGAAGGTTGTTTTGCTAACTGAGCAGTCAGACCTCAGTAACTCCTGTGCTGGGATGTTTTGCCAGCCATTTCACATTTTCCTCAAGCCTTCAACCCATCCCTCAATCTATATGCCAGCACCAGGGTCACCTACTACCACAGGCATCATACTCCTGTGCTGGGATGTTTTGCCAGCCATTTCACATTTTCCTCAAGCCTTCAACCCATCCCTCAATCTATATGCCAGCACCAGGGTCACCTACTGCAGGCATCACAGAATCATTAAGGTCAGAAAAGACCCTTGGGATCATCGAGTCCAACCATCAGCCCCACTCTACAAAGTTCTCCCCTACACCATATCCCCCAACACCACGTCACGAGCAGATCCCAGGGGGAGCTTGCCTTAAATGTGGTTTTACACAGTCCTGTTGTCTTCAGCTACACTCCCGTTTTTCTTCCTTGCTTATGGAAAAACAATACTTCAGCTAACTTCTGTCTTTGCTCACATCCCGTGTGAGCGATCACAAGGCTCAGTGCTACCCTCCTGTGAGCTCTGCTTCAGTGGTTTCTCAAAATATGATGGCTGGAAATCATCAGGGGTTGTGGGTTTTGGGGTTTTTTTTTTTGTTTTTTTTTTTTAAGACTCTTGGTAGCAAAATCCTCCCCGTTTTCCTGCCAGAGAAATCGCTTCACATTTCTTGGCACATCCTTGCTCACCCTGGGGCTCATGTGGTTTCAAAAGTAAACAAATAAAGGCAGGAATAAGAAGTGAGATGGCTCGAAAAACTTGAGAAGTGAGATGGCTCCTGCATTTTGCAGGTGGTAGGTGCTGCTGAACTACTTGCAAGGCAGAAGTCAGGCAGCACGCTCCAGTGGCAGGGAATGGCTTCAAGCCCCAACAGGGTAGGTTTAGACTGAACATCAGGAAAGAATTTTTCACAGAAAGAGTGGTCAGACCCTGGAATAGGCTGCCCAGGGAGGTGGTTGAGTCACCATCCCTGGATGTGTTTAAGAGCCGTTTAGATGTGGTGTTGGGGGATATGGTGTAGGGGAGAACTTTGTAGAGTAGGGTTGATTGTTGGACTCGATGATCCCAAGGGTCTCTTCCAACCTAGACAATTCTATGATTCAGACATCCCTGCCCTACTGCCGTCTCCATCACCCACTCACTGCCCGAGGCTGGCCAGATGTATCACCTATTTCTGTCTCATTTCATTTTGGACCTTTGAAGAGGGGTCTTCTCTTAGCCCATGTATATTATGCCTAGGTGAGGCAAACTTTGCAGAGGGAGTTAATGTTTTTTTTTATCATTTTAGCCACTCTAGATGAAAGAACGCCAAAATCCTTCAGGCATAAACCCCCTGTACAATGTTGGGAAACCTGCTCCCTGCTGGACCTATGAAGTGTGACATTTTGTGCAAGGGGAGTTCACTGCTTTTTGAGAAATTATGAAAGGCACGGTCAAAACATGAGTTACCCAAGTCTTCCTCCCCTAAGCAACTCCTCCATCAGTGAGAGTTCAAGGACAGCAGTCCAGAGCAATTTGTACCTACTTTTTGTGACGACGCCTTCCAGGTGGATGATGTTGGGGTGGTCGAACTGCCCCATGATGCTGGCTTCTCCCAAGAAATCTCGCCTCTGTTTCTCCGTGTAGCCCACCTTCAGGGTTTTGATAGCCACTGGAAGCTCACGCTTTCCCTGCAGCTTCAGCCGCCCGCTGCAGACTTCCCCAAATTCACCTTCAGGGAAAAATCAGAGAGAACGGGATCACAGCACATCCCAGGAATGCACGTGTGTATCCATCTAGCCAAGCCCCTATAGATAGCTGCTCAAAAGCACGTAGGGCTGTCCTGCATTCATGGATGGGGAAAGCTGCAACACCATAGTGAGCACCATCTCAAACAGCCGGCGCGCCACAAGCCAAGTAATTCAAAAGCACAAGCAAACTGGGAAGAAAAATGTAATTTTCCTATATTTAAAGAGCTATGCTCTATATTCCATCGGGCTTTTTCCTCATTCCATGTTCTTGTCTGCTAGATGAAAGAGTCCTGTCACATCCTGTGCTCTCGCCCCGTGTAGACAGCTGTAAAACACAAGCCACTTGCTTCTTAACCTTCCTTTGGTAAGTGAAATAGATGGAATGCAGTTAGCCTTTCACAGCGACATATATTTTTATAGACTACCCTTTCCAATTTTATGGCCACCTTTTTAAAAAAGTAACCCAAATGGATTTTTTTTTTTTTTCTTTTTTTTTCTGGTGAGATCATCTCCAAAACCCCGATTCCAGAGGATAAAAGATACTCCTAAAGTTGGACGCAAGTCCAAACAAACAGCTTAACTGGAAAGAAAAGGGGAGTTTCTTCTTTTAACCAAAGAAGTTCAAAGGTTTGGATTTTGATTTGGGCTTTTTTTGTCTCCCAGATGACTTCTTAGTCTTAATTTTTGCTTCAAGACTGACCCTAATGGGGGAGGAGAAAAAGGTTAAAACGAATTTTTGCTTCAAGACTGACCCTAATGGGGAAGGTCTTAACCTTTTTCTCCTTCCCCAGTAGGGTCAGTCTTGAAGCAAAAATTAAGAACGGTGAAAAGAACCTGAAGAAAAGGGAACCTCGTTTCCCTTAGCACCTGTCAAAATAACACAGGTTGGTCCAAACGTGACCATTTTCAGACGTTTTCAGTTCAGCCCCTGAATTTCAACACCACTGAGGATGACAGGTTTGTCCCATTCTTCACCTGGAACATGCTCCCCATCGTTTGCAGCGTACCTAACAGCACAAATATTGCATGGCCCTTCCCAGATGTCTCCTGTAAGAAAGCTTTAAGACCCTCCATGCTGCTGAGGGTCACAAAAGACATTTCCCTACCAGCTCCAATGACTCTTTCAATGGTTATGCAGGAAGCTTCAATCTCCTTAGCAAACTCGTGGACGGCTTGATTAGGGTCTTCATAGGTGTGGGGGTCAATGTAGGTCCTGACTCCGGGCAGCTTAACTGGAAACACAAATTAAGAGGGTTACACAAATTAAGAGGGTTACCAGCACACGGCACGACAGACAACGGGCAATACCCACTCCTGTCCCTTGTGCTCCACTTGGCTGGAAAACATGGCAGCAGGAAAGCCTATTTCTACAGGAAAAAACGAATAGCAACCTTGGAAAATGACATTTAGTTTATATGTGACATATGTGCAACTTCGTCATATTTAGGAAAGCACACGGTAGGGCTCAGCTGGAACGACGCAGAGCTGAAAATCCCTGGATCTGGAATCACCAGAGGACAAAAAAGCAAAATGTTAAGGGAATGATTTGCAAAGCAAGTTGGATGGATGAGGGTTGATGGAAGAGCTGCAATAAATTATGCCCTACTGGTCACATATTAGCTAATCAATCGGCCACGTTATTTCAGATGGAGTTACTGAGATTTAAACGAAGGGAATATCTGCAGTACAAAGCCTGTGGGTTGTACCAGTATAACCAAAATCAATAGCAGGTTTTTTTCTTCAGGACTTGAGAGGGGGGAAAAGTATTTTCATTATCCATATTATAAGTTTGTTTGGATAATCATTAAGGCCACTTGCATGAAAGACAGCTCATCAGTCTAATAAGACGGCTACGTTACACTATGGCTCTTAATTGATTTCCTTCCTGCTGCCTTCATTACATAGCACTAATGGAAATTTGACTTTCACTCAAGCTGCTTTTGCCTTTTCCACCCCAAAAGGCACCTCGCTGTTACCCATCTCCAGATCCCAGAGCACTTGAAGGCTTCCCCATGAAGGAAGGCTTTTCAAATACTGGCTTTGGATGCATGGAAGGGCTGAGAGGAACCATGAGATGTACTTACTGGCATCACTGCAGAGGGGTTTTTTTTTGTATATAAGGGCATTAACATAGAATTTCTGAAAGCTTCCTAGGAGCAAGAAGAAGATGTTAATCCTCACACCTCTGTGGAGGCACCCAAGGCGAAGAGTAGCTGTGGGACTGGTCCTCCAGACCACAAGAATGTCGAGCTGTTACGTGCCAGCCAAGCAAAATTAATAGCACCTTGGGTCACAAAGAGAAGACAGAGGAACAGAACAACAGGGCTTGCTGGAGAGATCTGCTGCAAACCTACAGGTGTGAATAGCTGGGCACACGTAAGGACTGTTGGAAGGTTCAGTTCTTTGGAGAACATTCTTTGCCCAGTTGCAATGTTCAGTTCTCCACGGGGCTTGGAGCAAGGGCAGGTGGGGACTTAGTGAATAACAGAACAAACTGAATTCTTCTGTGAATGACCAGCAAAACCATGTTTTTTATGAAAAACCAAACCTTTCACTTGTATTTCTCATTACTACAGAGAACCAAAAAGCACATATATAACACGTTCGATCTTTACTCACTGTGGCCGTTATGAAAATGCATCTTTTCTTCTTCTGGATCTTGTTTAGCCTTGCTATAGCCACATCGCCTGGGAAAAAGAAAAAAAAAAAACAAAAACAACAAACAGAAGAGTGTTTTTGTCTCTGGTGTGGCAGAACCCTGTTCTTTACTTCAAATCACACAAAACAGAGCAGCGGCGAATCCAACCTCTCTGGTGGCTGCATTGCTGCTGTCCCAGTTTTAGCTCATCAAACTACTTGCCATTTCCCTAACGGGATTCATGGACCCAAGGCCCACTGATTTTGAATTGGACTTGTGCTTCCAAATCCCACAGATGCTTCTGAAAAACTCGAAAAAAAAAAACAAAAACAACAAACAGAAGAGTGTTTTTGTCTCTGGTGTGGCAGAACCCTGTTCTTTACTTCAAATCACACAAAACAGAGCAGCGGCGAATCCAACCTCTCTGGTGGCTGCATTGCTGCTGTCCCAGTTTTAGCTCATCAAACTACTTGCCATTTCCCTAACGGGATTCATGGACCCAAGGCCCACTGATTTTGAATTGGACTTGTGCTTCCAAATCCCACAGATGCTTCTGAAAAACTCCACGTAATTTAACGATTTTTAAGAAGATAAAAAAAAGGCAAGAACAGGAAGGACGATGGAAGGGGAATGGGATGAAACATCAGAATCGCAGAAGCAAAACCTCATGGAGCTTTTGCCCTGTGTTGTATGATGTATTGCATGCTCCCCTTCACCCACTGGGCGTTTGCACCACTTTCCCACTGATTTTGAATTGGACTTGTGCTTCCCAATCCCACCGATGCTTCTGAAAAACTCCACTCCACCATACACGTAATTTAACGATTTTTAAGAAGATAAAAAAAAGGCAAGAACAGGAAGGACGATGGAAGGGGAATGGGATGAAACATCAGAATCGCAGAAGCAAAACCTCATGGAGCTTTTGCCCTGTGTTGTATGATGTATTGCATGCTCCCCTTCACCCACTGGGCGTTTGCACCACTTTAAATTTTGATACTTTAGAAAAACAGCCTCGCGTAAACATTAACACCTTAGACACAGGCAAAAAGATGGGTTAAAACACCTCAAAACCTGTTGCCTCACTGCCTTCAAGGCTCTTCTATGTGTTCCTGGCTCTGATGGGGTTTCCTGCACATCTCCTGTCTTTATCCAGGGGAGCTACCATTTATGCAATCCCAATTGCAGCAATAAAGATGGAAGAAGGCACAAAGTTACTCCCTGACCTATCTCACTCCCATGTTAGCACCAGGCAGAGCAAGGGTGCTGTTGAGTCCCACCATGGAGTTGCAACCACAGCCATATATGAGTCTCATCTCCTCCAGGGCACTCTCCTCTTAAGTCTTTGGCTGCTCATCCTTCCCTCTTCTTGCTGGTTCTCTAGGCCAAGCTATTGCATTACCATGATCTGGCTGCTTTGGTGGCATCTTAGAAGACGTGCTTCACTTAGACATTCCCTTAGGAAGCTGCAAGGAACTGCTTATATACACACAGAGATAGACACACTGGAAAATATGGGATAAGGTATGGATGATGCACACATAGATGTGTTTTTCCAAGTTTTTCCAAGACCCTGATAGGATAGCTGGGTACTACAGGAACCGGGTCATCCTTAAAGCACACTGGATGGATGTGAGACAGGGGGGACACCGCTTGGTAGAGTGAAAAACCTGCAAAGGACACCTGCAAACCAGCCAGTGCACAACAGGATCCCCAGCTGGCACACCTCTAAGAAAGCCCCAGGTTAACAAGGAGCCCCTTCAAGCTGAGAAACGTGGAGCCTTCTCCTCTATTGAGCATGATTTTTGAGACAGGGGCAGATGTGAGAACTCCAGCATCACTCACAGCGAGGAGGAGCATATGATTAGCAGAAACAAAACTGCAATTAGGAGGAGGCAGTAATAGGCATCTGTAGGAAACATGCCCTCAGCATGAAGTCCCATTACGGGGGAACTGCTGTCTGCCTGGTTGCCAGGGGCCAAGCAGCCTTGTGGCTATAGGATTTTGTTTGTAATCATGATGGTTTCACAAATCTGGTGCCAAAATCCTGCCGCCCAGCTGGCCCCAGCAGAGCTGGACACCAGAGGGTCGAGCAGGGGGAAAGCAATGTGAGGTCCCTGGGGTTACTCTGGAGAAGGGCAGCAGGCACACCAGCTTACCTTGGGGAGAAGGGGAGACCTGTGCCAAGGGGAGGAGAAAATGGACCACGAAGGTTGTGCAAGCACAGGGGAATGGATTGGGACAAGGTGCAGAAGACAAGGGGGAAGGTTGATCAGCGGTCCAGGGGGGGCAGGCAGGAAGATAAACAGGTCACACTCAATAAAACAGCCAGAGCATCCATGCAGGGTGTGTTTTCAGCAGCAAGCTGAGCAAGCTGAGACCATCATGCTCTGAAGGTAGACCCCACGACAGCAGCAATGAGGTGGCCCCAGACAGGGCTCAGTTATCTGCAGTTATCCACGCTCATCGCCTTGCTCCAGCATCAGCAGAGCCATTTCCTGAGATGGGGTCCTCCCTAATTAACTCAAAAACTCAGCTCTAGGTGTATGTGGAGACTTGGGGAATAAGAGTAATTTCAAAGTGTGGTATAGTGTTCGCAATCCCTGGGTGAAAATGGGTTCTTCTCCTTCTTTGTCATATTGCCTCCCTCTTTATGAACTAGAGATACAAGTATCAGCATAAATTCCAACTTCTGTCAACTATTGCCTCCCTCTTTATGAACTAGAGATACGAGCATCAGCATAAATTCCAATTTCTGTCAACCCCAATTTTTTTCTGCTGCAAGTTGCCAAAAGTTACATCAGTTTTCTGCAGAAGCCATCCTTCTGAATCAAGGCACATAACTCAGTTTTCCTCTTAAAAATACACAAACGTTTCGATTCATCCTTCCACCAAAAGCACATACACAAGATTTCTTCTGTTTGCCTTTTAGAGCAAGTGCCCTCATCTCTTCCTCAGGTTTGGAGTCCTTCAACTATAAAAATAAAGCTTTTCTAACATGATCCTTTTTCCTACCCGTGTCTCTTTTCTGCTGCAAGTTGCCAAAAGTTACATCGGTTTTCTGCAGAAGCCATCCTTCTGAATTGAGGCATATAACTCAGTTTTCCTCTTAAAAATACACAAACGTTTCGATTCATCCTTCCACCAAAAGCACATACACAAGATTTCTTCTGTTTGCCTTTTAGAGCAAGTGCCCTCATCTCTTCCTCAGGTTTGGAGTCCTTCAACTATAAAAATAAAGCTTTTCTAACATGATCCTTTTTCCTACCCGTGTCTCCTGATTACAGAATCACAGAATCTTCTAGGTTGGAAGGGACCTTAAAGATCATCTTGTCCAACCGTCAAACCTAACTTTGACAAAAATAGACAACCACACAACAAACAAGGAGCATCATCACTAAACCATACCTCCCAGCACTACATCAACCCATGATTCTTTGACCATGAAGAGGGAGGAGAGAAAAACAAGGACCGTGCCATCCCTTGAGACCATATCTCCCAGCACTACATCAACCCGTGATTCTTTGACCATGAAGAGAGAGGAGAGAAAAACAGGGACCGTGCCATCCCTTGCATCCAGAGATCCAAGCCCACCTTGATGCGCAACGCTCTAGGGACACACTCAAAGGGCCAACCCAAACCCGTTGGCTCCAGTTCCCTCCTCTCTCAAGCTGAATTAACACAGACAGCAGCTCATCACATTAGCATACGAAATCAGGCTCTGGGACCCCCCGGAGCATTGTTAAGCCTCCACAAGACATGCCCAACCCCAATTGTGACTGTCAAGCAACAGTTGGGCATCACTAACAAAAGTTGCTGTGAAACCTGCCCGTGCACACTCATTGCCTTAAACTACCCAAGGGAAACAAGCCATGTACACACTGACTGGGGCTAAATCACACTTCTTCCCTTCTCGACCTTCAGATGCTTTAAATAACACACACAAGCAGGTCTTCTCCTCTTTTCTGCCCCAACTATATACCATAAAAATCTGCCATTTTCAGGTTAGCGGCCCTGATTCAATACATGAATCCTACTGGCAGGTAACAGTATCTAAATATTGTGGCTTTGCAATATATTTTGGTGGAAGAAAAAGCTCCTGCTTGTTTGTGAAATAACCCATTTCTGCATGTTCACTTGCTCTTAATAAGTATTAGAAAAGCTGTGAGTCAAAAGGGACTCACTCTCTGGTTTACTGTCGTTGTATAAACCATAGATTTCCTGTATCTTTTCTATATCACATACAGCAAAAGCATAAAGATCCTGATGCTCGCTTCATCTCCCCCTGAGCTGGAGACACTCAGCCAAAGAGTTAACATAATTCAGCAGCACACCTGAATCTCAACTCATTTACTCCTGTTGCAGGTTTGTCCCAGTTTCTGTATCTAGAAAGCAGATGTCTTCCTTGCACAGCTCGGTGTTTTTCAATAGAAGTATCAGAGGGGGAAAAAAAAAAAAAAAGAAAAAAGCGAGACTTTAAATATTCTTAAGGCATCATGTCTTATTTAAAAACTACTTGCAGATTGGCAGGCAGCTCATAAAATATTTATGGGGCAGATTATAAAAGTGAAGTTGTAAAATGATCCCTATATAGGTTTATAAAATATAAAAAGGACAGGTAGAAAGATGAAGAATCCAGCTGGGAAACCAATGCCCACTGTCTCCTCATGGCAGAATTTGTGGAGAAAAAGACCTTCAAGAAACGAGGCAGGAAGATGCTCGCTCTCCCTGGACCTATGTGAGGCAGGAAGATGCTCACTCTCCCTGCCCCTGAGGTTTGGAGTGTCCTTGCTGGGTGTTGTGTGGCCCAAGGCACCCCCAAAACCCACAGCAGGAAGATGCTCGCTCTCCCTGGACCTATGTGAGGCAGGAAGATGCTCACTCTCCCTGCCCCTGAGGTTTGGAGTGTCCTTGCTGGGTGTTGTGTGGCCCAAGGCACCCCCAAAAACCACAGGATGCCCAAGGGAAGGAGTTTCCATCTCCCTAGCTGGGGCCACCACACTTGTCACAACCCAGACAGGACAAAGTCAGGGGACTGTGAAGCTGGACCTTGGACATCCAAGCCCTAGGCAGTGATGTGGGAGAGTCTTTACATGCTTTTTTTTCCAGGCACAGGCCAAAGCATTTCAGCACATGTCCAAGGCATCGCTGGAGATGCACACGGGGACAGCATTTAGACATCCCCGATGAGGAAAGGGACCTCACCATCGCCAACCATCGCAGACATCCCCGATGAGGAAAGGGACCTCACCTTGCCAGGTGTGGTCAGCACCATTGGATGGCTTGTGCCCTGAAGCAGCACACCATCTCCCACCCCAGCCCTGCAGAGATTCAAGACGTGTATTTCATCTCTCAAATGGGAGACAACAAACCCTGTGGGCTTCTCTGAAACAGAGCCAAAACGCAAGTTGCTTTTCAGGGGCGAGACCTTCACTCAGAAGCACATCTTTTGCAAGAAATCAACTTGGAGGAATGCATCCAACCCATCTCGGGCTGCCCTTTTACAGGAGGTTTGGAAGAACTGCAAGGTTGTTGTTTACCAGGGGTAAGAGCTCATTTCAGGGCTGTTTATTCCAGGAGGTTAAAGCAATGAGGCTGCATACGTGTCCCAGCACAGGGCTGCGTTCCACCCAGAGGAACAAACAAACACAGATCCGTCCTTCTAGCCAAGATCCTGTCGCCTCCGTTCATGTGTGCAGACAATAACTTGTTCACAAAATAGTTTTATCCTGGATAAACAACACTGATCCTGAGAGCCAGTGGCAAAAGCCTACCTCTAAGTGATGTTGGTCCACGTTCAGCATTCACCGGAGTATATTCAGTACCACAAAACCCTGGAAAACTCAAAGGACTGATGTAGAACAAACAGCTGTTACACTGGAAGTTGTTTCCCATTTTTCTGTTCGCTCTCCTCCTGCTTTCTTGACTTCTATTATGAGTTACTTCCATTGCCCTGGATGAAACTTTCACCTGGAGTAACCTGGAGCAACCCACGGAGGCTGGGAATCTGACTCATTCAACTCCTCTATCTTCTCTCAAAAGTCCTATAATTTGGAGAATGGGATCAAAAGAGCAGTAAAAGGTCTTGAGACCTTCTACTCAGGGCTAACACCTTTGTCTCAGTTCATAGATAGACCAGACAACTGGCCTGAGAGGAACCAGGGCAGGTTCCCTTCCTAAGGGCTGCAGGCTGTCTTCTCAGTTGCTTCCCAGCCACTGCTGTCTCCCTCTACACGGTGCCTTTGACCTCTGATTAACTTGGATGCCTTACAAAGGAAGCTTCACAATTCTAGCAGTGGTATTTTTAGCCTTTAGTCTTTCCCTGAGTTCACACTGAATGACTCCCCGCCTTCCTAAACCACCAGCAGAACAATTAAAAATAATTTAAACAAGATACCGTTTCCCCCTCTAGCAGGAAGCTCTCTCTGAAGTGATCTCCATAAATCTTTCTAAAGAGGTTGTCGTGCCTTCCCATAGCACAGCCGTGCCTTGGAGTCACTCTTCCCATTTCCCCCTCCCAGCTTGATGCCACATTTGTGTCTCCACAGCTTAGAAGGAAACTTGCAGGAGGTGTTTTCCAGGTCAGCCAGGTTTTCCCTAATACGTCTCTCTTCTTCGTAGCCATCCAGTCCATTCCTGGTCTCCTCTGAGAAGCATTTTCCATTGTTGCCCCTCTCTGTCTGGGGGCATTGCTGAGGATATTTCACAGAATCACAAAATCTTCATGGTTGGAAAGGAGCTTTGAGATCATTGAGTCCAACTCCCCCCAAAAACAACAAAAAAACCCCCCAAAAATCACAGACACAACCAAAATCTTCATGGTTGGAAAGGAGCTTTGACATCATTGAGTCCAACTCCTCAAAAAACAACAAAAAAACCCAAAAAATCACAGACACAATGCAACAATCCCGGGCACTACAGCATGCCCTGAAGTGCCACCTCTACACAGTTCTTCAATCCCTCCAGGGATGGGGACTCCACCACCTCCCTGGGCAGGCCCTTCCAGGGCCTGACCACCCTCTCAGCAAAGTCATTCTTCCTCACATCTCATCTAAACCTCCCCTGCCCCAACTTCAGACCATTTCCTCTGCTCCTGGCATGATTCCCTTGGGAGAAGAGGCCAACCCCCACCTCTCTACACCCTCCTCTCAGGGAGTTGTAGAGGGCAATGAGGTCTCCCCTCAGCCTCCTCTTCTCCAAACTCAACATGCCCAGTTCCCTCAACTCACAGCCAGGGACTGCTCGGGTACTGGTGGCACAGGCATGACAGACAACAGAAGTACCAAGAGGTTTTCTTTCAGCACAATCATTGACAAATTGGTGGCTTCCAGGAAAAACCACGTCTACCAGAAGAACGTTTTGCAGGCAAACACTTTGAGCCGAGCAGCCTTTCTTCCTAATGCTGCTCTTAAGCTCTCAAAAGTCTTGACAAAAAGTTAAAAACACTTAAAAGCACTCCAACGGGAAAAAAGAAAAGCATTCTGCGTGAGGGCCTTTGGGATCTGCAGTTGCAAAATCCTCTATGGTTTAGGCCTCTGTCAGAGCCAACGTACAGCACTAGAGGATCCAAAACCAGTCCACCTTGGTGGCTGCTGTGCCCCACATCCAGGGACCACACCGTGACCCAGCAGAGCCTCAGCATCCCTCCAGGAAACACAGTAGAAGAATTTCACACCTCTTGCCCAGCTACGCTGCAAAACCTTCACCCAATCACATGGGGTTGGAAGGGACCTCTAGAGATCATCTAGTCCAACCTCCTGCCAAAGCAGGGCCACCCAGAGCAGGTCCCACAGGAACGTGTCCAGGTGGGTTTGGAATGTCTCCAGAGAAGGAGACTCCACCACCTCCCTGGGCAGCCTCTGCCAGGGCTCTGCCACCCTCACAGCAAAGAAGTTCCTCCTCAGGTTTAGGTGGAACTTCCTATATTCAAGTTTGTTTGTGCCCATTTCCTCTTGTCCTGTCCCTGGGCACCACTGGAAAAAGACCAGCCCCATCCTCTTGACACCCTCCCTTTAAGGATTTCTAAGCATTGATCAGATCCCCCCTCAGCCTTCTCTTCTCCAGACTCAAAA